AAAGTCCACCAGGGAAGAGAGGAGAGAAGAAGAGGGTTGTTTACAAGAACAGGTTGACAAAACGGGTCTTTGGGAAATAAAAAGAAGGAGGAGGCATGGTGGGGACGGGAGAGAAAAGAGAAAGAAAGAGAGGAAGAAAAAAGGCAAGGAATAGGAAGGGAAGGAAAGGGAAAGGGAGAAAAGATCAGATGAAGAGAAAAAGAGGAAAAAGAAATAGGAAACTAAAGACAAAGTAACACAGAAAAGAGAACTACATTGTAGGTTTTCTCCACATTTTGAAACCTTCTTTTGGGGGCACTGTTAGTACATCTGGACCGTTGGTGTGTGGTGGTGGGTGGTGTGGCTGTGTGGTGTGTGTTGGTCGGGAGGTTGTCCTATAACGCATAGAAGAGACCTCCAGTGTAGTAAAACTCTTAGATGATGGAGATAATGATTCAGACCCCACCTATTACACACAAAAACACACACAACAACACACACACACCACACACACACACACACTGTGTAATAGCCTTTTTTAAGAAATCTATGGTGTGTTTATCGTTCTTCGTTCACTAATACACATCAGATTGGTACGTAAACACACGCATAAGAAAACACACAGATGAGATGTGACAAAAAGAAAAAGCAGGAGACTTCAAACAACGGGGAAACAGGGTACACACACACACACACACACACAACATCACAACCACAACACAGAAAATGTCACAGGTTGCATGAGACGTATCAATAAATCATCAGCAAGAGCCATAAATGCGGTAAGTATGAGGGAAAGCACGACACACTCACACACACAACAACACACAACCACACACACACACCACAACACAGACCTGCACAACAGGCACACACCACAGATAACGATGGAAAATCCCAACTGGAGCACAGTGTGTGCTTTCAAACCAACAAACCAGTTGGTGGAATGTAAACCATAGTACATTTATTGGTAACCAAACCGATAAAGAAAATCCTATTTAACATATTTCAGGTCCTCTATAGGACTAATAGGTACCAAACACAGGTTTTTGGAATTGGGTCGCCAGTAGATCACCTCCGAGAAAACGTGCTACCAATCGTTTAGGGCTTAAAATAGTGCACACGCACAGACGGCGCACTAAAAAAGTGGTTGCCCACTGACTCGTATTGATAATGAGGTCTGTTAAACTTTTATGGAATCCTACAGTGACAGACTTTGTTGAAGGGGTCAGATCCCTGTTCACCACAAACAACCATAGCCGCTCTGTTTCAACGCCATCCAGTGCACTCATTGACAAATAACAGTCATACCTCGCAGACACAGGGGGTTTCTTGGTCTTAACTGGCACTTTGGTTGATTTTTAAAAGGGTTTAGTCCGGATCTCAAGTAACTGTTTTTGTAACGACCACTTCTTCCCCCAAGGGTTGGACATGCTTGGAATCCCCCCCCAAAATAAAAAAAAAAAAAAGTCCCTACCTTGCCTCCACAGTGAGTCGAGTTCTCCTGTGTGCACGCCAGCTGGTCCACTCTCTCCTGGCAGCTTGCTTTCATCCTCATTTAAAACGTGTCTTCATTAAACAGCTCGGCCCGAAAATGTCCTCTGCATTTGGGCGACCCTGGACGGGACAACAGAGACACACACACACACACCACACAACACACCCACACACCACACACACACACACACACCAGTTGGGGTTTTGAATGTAGTTGTAATAACATTTTCTTTCCATTCCGAAATTAACAGAGTGAAACCGCAACGCCAGCGACCCGCTTCACAACCTTTTTTGACAGTGGCCTGCCCCCTCACCCCACTCAAAAGTTTCCAGCAAAAACAACTTCCCAGGTAGTTCTGTGTAACAAACCTCCTTTGGGCGCAGGTCAGGTTAGTTGGCCAAACAAATAAGACTTGTGGTTTTTGTTGCTGTTATTCAGTTTATAGGCTTAAAAAACAAAAGGGATACTGGACACGTAACAGTGTTCATACAAACAGCACTCATTGTTCAAAATAATGGGCCTTTTTTTATTTGGGGAAATAACTCTGGGAGCTTTGTTCTCTTCGGTTTTTCCCCTATCGGGCAGGCAGGCATAAAGGTTTGTGCAACACAAATTATTTATTATGACTTCCACAATTCTCAAGTGAATACACCCGAATAAAAAAAGTAAGGAAAAATAAATAAAAAACTGTCCAGAATAGCCCGATAAAAACCGGAATGATAAAAAAATTCGCTCGGATAGGGTCAGTTGGTTGCCTCCCCCCCCCCCCCACCCTCGGTCTGGTCTCAAGCAGGACGGGCTGCCCTTGCCGTGCACCTGTCGGACTGATACTTAAAAAGGACGTTTCTGGGTCCTGCGAGTCATTGTGTTGGGTGTCAGTGTGTGCATGTGTGTGTTGTGTGCGGCAGTGAGAGAGGTAGAAATATTTAAATGCATTTACTGGGATGTACTTTGGAAGCGCAGCCTCCCTCAATAACACTGCCACCTCTAAACCAAATAAAACGCGCGCACACACACACACACCTGCTGCACACCCTCAATGTCCCTCCTCTCTTCTCTCTCTTTCTGTCTCATTTCTCAGCTCACGACATGACAGATGGAGCAGAGGCAGAGCACTCACTCATTCTCAGTGAGCTGTCGCTGAATTTAATTTAGACCCTGACTGTTAATCAAATCCGAACAGCTTTTTTTTTCTTCTCCCCCCATATTTCCAGTGAATGATCTCTTTTTGTTGTACGTTTGTCGAAAAACAGCAACTTATGCTGTAAATATCTGCATGGCTTTTCAGAATGAACTGCAGGGTGAACAAAAGGTAGCGGATACATTGATTATGATGCATCTGACATGCAGAGTAGTGACTCATCATATTAGGTTTTTTTTACTGTGGATCAACCTTAACAGCTGAGTCACAGTGAGCATTTTGGCAACATGTTTACTGGATTTCATAAAAAATACACCTTTGTTTAAACAGTCAAGTGTTTCAAGCTTCCTTTAATGGCGACTCCTTCCTCTCAGCACACAACTGCTGGAATACATCTAGTAAGCATGTGCAGACGCGGCCTTGTTCACACTTAAACGCATCTCGAGAAATCTGTTTTGGGTGGGATTGCACCTCCTTGACTACCTGGAAGGACTGCCTGGCAACGCTTTGTAGGAGTTTCTTTCTCCTTTTGAGCTGTGCTAGTAGCACGGCTCTAGGTATGGAACTGTCGGTCAGTCGGAAGCAAATGTTAGCATCCTAACATGTTGTAAATATTACATTGTGAGCACTAACATGGCTGTAGACTCGTAATGTCTGGTCACAGCAGAAAGTGGGGAAGCGAGATGAATCCGCGCATCACATGAAATATTTGGCCGTGGAAGCTTGGTGACGTAGGGACTATATATCGCCAGTCACAAAAGCCCTCACTTGGCATTTTGTTCACCATCTTAGCGTGTTAAGATGCTAACATTTACGTCTGAAACAGTTAACAGGCTAAGCTACGTTAGCTTCCTCTATTTTTTTAACTTTAAAGCTCACCACTGTCCAGATGGCTAGGTGCAATTTCACGGGTCGGAAGGTTCAAGTTAAAACTTTACGGGAAAAAAAAAAAAACGTTAATTTCTTATTTCGCCATGCACGCGGAATGCACCAAAATCTTCTTGGATTACATTGCAACAAATTGGAATTTCTGAAATTTCAGTTTTAAATGGTGTCTTTGAGCATTAGTCGAGATGAGTCACAAACTTCTCATTCTTGTGTAACAAATTCATTTATTACACATGATTGTAACTAAACTACTGCGCTGTATCAGCAAAAATGGAAGAGAAACGCCACTCTTATCCACATGATACTCACTCAGACTGCCCAGCTGTTTGATGATCGCTGCCAGGGTGCTGTTGGTAACACACTCCAGTTCACTGGTCACCCCATCTGGCAAAGCCCCACGGCACAAGTGCCTGGGCTCAATGTTCCGCTTCACCAACGGCATTCTGGTCTACTCCTGAAGAAACAAAAGAGGAAAGAGAGATGATTGGTTTATGGTGAGGCTCAGTTGTCCATCACTGCTACCTGTATCGTTTATGACTCTAAACATGCTCTGAGATACCCAAAACTGTTTCTGAGTGACGCTCTGATTTGTTAACATGCTCCAAGCTAAATTCCCTTTAGGAAAAATAAGTAAATGAACAACAGCAGAGTTCTGCACTGACATGAGAAGAGAGAAAGAAAGAGCGAAAGCTGAGGAAAGACGGCCTGACGGAGATGGAGGTGTCATGTCCGCCGTGGGGCACAGTCGCTCATCACACCGCTTAATGTCAATGCGGCTGCGATGAGCCAAGAGCCAAATGAGCCGGAAAGAAGTTTCTAAATGGTGCTAACGAGCCGCAACCGCAGCCAGAGAAACCACGAGGGACGGAGAGAGGGAGACAAAGAGAGGAACGGGCAAAGGGTTGGACGATGACAGAAAGACGGGAAGAACGAGAGGTTAAAAAAAAAAAAAGAGTGTGACAGACAGTGTGAGAGAAGAAAGAGAATGGGTTGTAAGAGAAAGACTGTGTCAGTGTGTGAGTGGCCAGACCACAAGGGAAGGGCTACATATAGATCCAGCATGTCACATGATGTGAGCCCGGTGTCCTTGTGTCGGGTGAAAAAAAAGCCTCAGCTACCAGAAACAAAAGAAATTTGACAAAAATTGTTTCATTTCCAAATCGAAATAAGGCAGATGTTAGTACAGTGTTTAACCTGCATTTATCAATATAGATTTCAACACTGAAGCAAATTAGTCTATGTGACCTCCAGAATCATGGAGAATTAACACCAACCTTTTTAGCCACTTTTAGCACATTGTTTTGGCTTTATGGCCACCTTAAAAACGTAACTACACTACCTACCCAGAGCCAAACAGCAGACAAACTTACAGAATGCTTGGGAAGCTAGTCAAACAGCAAGCATAGTTTCTAAAATAGAGATAATTGAAGAGCCAAATTGTTGGCCAGCAAATTTATTTCATCTTTAATCTTCCTCTTAAAGCTCCAGAATCTGCTCACTTTCGTATCCTATGATATCTGCTTCTTGGTGAGTGCATCTTTTGAGTTGACATGCACTCTTTTGGTTAAAACTGTGTAATTTTAAGGTTCAAGTGTGTAAAGGTTGGGTTTAATTCTGCAATTCCTAGGCTGACGAATGAAACTGCTGGGTTGAGATACACAAAAAAATACATATACAACTGTTTTACTGATTACTTGGAGAAATTCTAACCGATTATCAGATTACAGACCAGAAACAGGCGGTAAATGTAGACCCTGCATTAACGGTAACTGTAGCTCGTAACGTTAGCCTGCTCTTTGAAGCAAATTATCGTGACAGACACAGAAAGAGAAAGTGACAAAGAGAAGCTGAAAGCGAGTGAGAGCTACCGTTGGAGCCCAACACGTGAGAGGAAACTGCTCGGCTCTTCTCAGTTTGGAGTGAACTCTCTATGTGGGACACGCTTGTTATTTTTGGGCCACGATTTTGTGTGTGTGTGTGTGTGTGTGCGGCACGTGTGTCTGTGCGCCTAACAATTAAAAGTATGTGTGACTTCTCACTGTGTGCGTGTGAAAAAGTGTGCATATGTGCATGTGGGAGGTATGTGTGTTCCCAGGTCAGCGCTCTGGAAACACGCCACTCTCTCACCGTCTCCCACGCTTATAATATAATCATTGGCACAATTAATACTTCCGGGATGAGGGGAAGGAAGCCGAGACAATGGAGGTAAATAAAAACATTACATTTATTGCCAAAATATGTGTGTGTGTGATCGTGCTAGACATGCTAACACCTAAAAGGCTGTGTGTGTGTTTTCACGTGCTCCTTAATTTGTTTGTTCAGACTGAACCACACATGCCAACTTTAATAAAAAGTGACTAGATTGTCCTCTTTACGTCTCTCTCTCTCACGGCCTCGTGCTCTTCCTCCCTCTAATAGCTTCTGACATTCAATTACACAAACCACCCCAGATTGGGCCGACTTGCCTTAAGTGTGTGATGGAGCTTCGCACTGTGTGTGTATGTGTGTGCGTGTGTGAGCCAATATCCACCCCCTCCCTCCAGCTGTTGTAAATAATCTAACACCGTGGCTCTTAAATAATACATACATGCTACTCCTCCTCCTCCATTGCCGCCTCAATAGCTGCTCTTCATCTCTTATTTGTCTCATCTGTCCGACCCCTCCCCGCTTTTTTTCCCCCCTCGCTTTTCATCGTATTTTCTCGCTCCATCTCTGCCTGGTTTCATTAATAAACCAGTAAGGGTGAATATCTCTTCCTCCGACTCCCCGGTGTCTAACACGGACTGGGTATTCCCCATCCGAGGGCGTGTGTCCACTGCGAGATAACCGAGGGATTGTGTGTGTGTGAGGGATGCAGGCCATGCATGAAATGATGTGGATGTTCCCTCTCTCTGACACAAACACACACGCACACACATCGACTTCATTTTGACCCAAAGGCACTTACTCTCCTCACACAAGCCGTTTCAGGTCAGCTCCAGGGCAAAGTGGCATCAGCCCGGTGTGCTACACCCCTGATACAAAGACTGGAGACAAAGGAATAAAAGGGGGACTCGAAGAAATACCTGTTATTCTGTATGTTTCCTGCAATTTAACAGCTAGCCAGACAATTTTGTGTTATTTTACAATTTTCTGTAATATTTTAAACACCAGATTTAACCAGAATACACAGTATGTTTCCCAGTCTTTCCGAGTGGTCACTATGCCAGATAAGGGGACTTGGTGGAGACATGGGTCAGACTACAAGTTGTACCCTATCATCGTTAAACAAAGATGGATCAGGGTAAGAGGGGCAGATTTCCAGGTCAGGAAAGCCAACAGTACGGACGGAGCCTGGGAGGTATCTTGGAAAAATACACATAACAACAAAAAAAGTAATTTGTGCTCTCGGATTAATAATTTGTGCACAATTTATGACTTTCACGTAATAGTCTTGTCTTGAGTCTACAACATGGGTCGCTTGGATCTAATACAGATTTTATTTTGAACTCGGATAGAGATATGTGAATGTACGTTTTACCTGTTAAACAAAAAGTTGTGTCATTTTTTTAGATCCCTGAAACATTTTGGAAATTATAATGAACAAAAAAATAGTGTGGATGTTGTCCAGTTCATCTTCAGAGTTCTGGAGAGCTTTAAATGTCCAGCAGACTGAATGAATTTGCTGCCCTTTGGAAGAAGGGTTGAGGCAAAACATATAACATGCTGAGTAACTAAACCCCCAAACCTCTAGTTATATGGGTATTTAGTAGTGTTGTTGATTGCTTCGGGTTCAAATCTTGACATTTTGGTGCATAAGTACATTAATTCTTCATACTGTGCTACACATATGCATAGTTCCCCCCCTCGACTGGTTAAAACCCAGCTACTACAGTTAAATTTTGCTATTGGCTGATCTGGAGGCAGGTGACTTATGTGGTGGAAGCTTACATCACCAACCAGCAGTCTGTAGCCACAGTGCCACGCCCGCTATAAGGTTCTCCTGGGCACTTCTTGGGTCCATTTTTTAATTTTTTGCTGGGATGGAGGGAGCTAGCAGAGGCTTTAGTAACACTTTAAATCAAATTATTGAATTAGGCACATAATGAATCTCCACAAGAGGATCTGTACAGTAGCAATTGTGTCATAAAGCAAGCTGTAGACAAAAAATCTGACATGATAATCTTTCTGTTAGGACCTTGTGAGACTACTTACATACAGAATCAGTTGTCTTCTGCAGTGAGACACACTCAAGTTGTTCCTGATAGTCAGTTTCATTCCCAACAACCTTTGTCTATCAGATTGCAGCATTTATACATTACACTGAGAGGTAACACACGTCCGAACAGGCCTCCGCATTGACCTAAATGATCGAATGTCGGCAAATCGTTGACTAATACTTTTTTTATGCTAGTTATAATAACATCTAAAAGAATTTTCACATAAAATTCCCGTACTTCAGGGTGTTGGAGACCATTTACAGCCTTCAATTTAGTCATCTTAAAGACTTTTTGGGACCAGAGGACACCCAGGGAAGGAGAAAATGAACAAGACGAGAAGGCGGGAGAGAGGAGAGGAGCGAAAAGTGTGTCGTGGAGCCATGGGAACGTTGTCATGGCAACGCGCTGAGGAATCCGCTCCGCTGCTCGAAAAAGTGGAACTCGCCGCCACTCCGAAAATAGTATGAAAAGAGAGACGGAGGGGCGAAGGTAGGAGAGAAGAACACTAAGACAGAGGGAGGAGAGGAAGGGTGGATATCCCTCAGCTCAACTTAAAACTTTAAAGTGGGTCTCCAGAGGATTCTGACACCTGCACTTACACAATACTGGAGAGTTTAGGGTGCAGAACTGGAAATAGTAACAGAGGATCTCGTCTAACAGTTTCGGGATCTCTGAGAGGCCACTTCAGATCAAAGATTCATGACAAGATGAAATCGTTTAAGGACAGTGCAGAGAAAAGTTGCAGCCGCATGAACTACCCCGTCAGAGGCTGTTAGACGTCGGCTGCTAGCGTCACGAAAGACTACGAGGTGAGGACGGTTCAAACTAATGCGAGTAAACAGTTGGAAAAGTTAAAAGTGGATATGATTGACCAGATTCAATAATTTTGTTTTTAAGTTCTTCTTTGCAAGGTAGCAGCCAGTTTCAGCTCTTTCTTAAAGGAACAGGTTGACGTTTTAGGAAATACGATTGTTCAAGTTCTTGCCAAGAGTTGGACGAGAAGATCGATACCACCGTCATACCTGTCCATTAAATATAAAGCTACAGCCAGGAGACAGTTAGCTTAGTTTAGCTTAGCTTAGCAATAAAACTCCAGGAAGTCACTGCCCCCGGACCAGAAAAACGTAACCAAACAAGTAAGACATGTTAACTAATGAGTTTTAGACGTGCTGGCTAGTGGATTTCTTTACCTTTGGTCAGGTTAGCTGTTTCCCATCTTTATGCTAAGCTAGCCTGCTGGCTGTAGCGTCCT